AAAATTATAAATTTTTTTTAAAGATAAATGAAATAAACTTTATCTTTTAAGATTTAAATTTAAGTAATAATATTAATTATAATATATTTAATTTTATATAATAATTAATTTTTATATAGTTGGTTACTTCTGATTCCGGTTATACCTGGCGTTAACATCGAAATTTAATTAGACATAATGATGAAAGGAAAGTTGTGTATGATAGATAATTAAAAATGAAGTTTAGAAGAAAAGGTTGCATGCACGTGAGGGCGGTTCCTTGTTATGGATGATGCTATCTATCTCTATTCTCAATACAACACCTCTAATTTCTCAACCTTGATCTGAAAACGAAGGAATAATTGGATTAATAGTTCTGCTTCCAATGTGTAAAAGGAACAAGGTACAATGGTGGTGGTGTGGTTCCAAATTCCCAGAACCTTGTATTGGTGTACGAGAGAGTTTCGATTTCAATGGTGGCGTGTGATTCTAGGTCTCCATCTTCAACTATACCACTTCATCCACATGTATATAAACCAGTATTATTAGGACTTTGTGCAAGAAAGATAGATGTTACTCCTTTATTATGAATCACAACAACAAGGGGCTATTTTCTCGTGTTTTGTAATTACTCAACCACAACATTGTGGTGAGAACAATGGGCTAATGAAACTGAATTTTTTTAATGTATACCTTTACAAAAATATTCTAATGTGACACGTGGTAAAACCGTTAAGAGCATCTATAATAGAAATTGTTATTAAAAGTTACTTAAAAAGAAATAGTGAATATTTTATTATAAATCTCATATCTAAGTTACTTAAAAATGGATAAAATTGTTTAAAATTATATGAAAGTTAATTAAATAAATAATTCTGACTAACCCATAATAACATATTCAATTTTATTTTTAAACCATTCTAATTAAATATTCTCTTCTAAGATACTCTAAGAATTATTTTAGAGGTCTCACTCGGTTTCATTTCATTATAATAATAATAATAATAATACTAGGTCAATTTTTAAAGTATTACGTTTTTAAATTTTTATAAAATTAAAAAAAAAACTTGTTAAAAAAATGTGTCACATGATAAAGTCCACTTAAAAATAAAATAAGATTTTACGAAAGTTTCTTTGTAAAATCTAGCATATGATACTATTAATAGAAGAGTAACTTATTAACGAAAGAAAAGGTAGAAACTAAAGTGCCACAAAAATTCTTTTATAGATAAAAATATTTTTTCCTCATATTTTAATATGTTTTTTTTTAATTTCCCATTTATTACTTTAACACTTTCATGCTTTATTCTTTCTTAAATTTCTTTTACAAAAGTATAATTAAAAATAATAACAATAATATTATTATTTAGAAGTTTTAAATGAAACAAGTAAATATTTTGTATGAAGAAATTTTACAATTAATTTCTTGTTGTCTTGATATGGTAATAACTAAGTTTCTGTAAATTGGATGCATAAAGTTAAAACACTTATAGCAATAAATATCATTTTCAAAATTAATGATTTTCTAATTAGACATATTAACAACAATATCAATGTTGTGCTCAAATTAGGATATTCATTCAGCATATTTTAATATATAAACCATGATAAATGCATACATAACATATTTTTTGCTTAACCATAATCCAAATGGCGCCAAACACAAAATAACCACCTTTTAGTTAATGCAAAGTAAGTTTTAGTTTCTCTTAAATATCTTAATTGTAACTTGAAATTTCTCTAGGAGTTCCTAACATTATTTTCACTGATTTAAAAAAATTATCGTTCTTCATTTTTGGTTCACTTGATAACCAAGGAAGCAGAACTTCTCCACAAGTTAAAGTAGCCTTTTATTTGTTAATTTAAAGAAGTCATTTCATATAATTTCTCTAATTTTTATTCTTTAATTTGTAGAAAAATTTATTTGATTTTATTTTTCTCTTTTATAAGTGTTTATGCAAAAGTTTGTCCGAACAAGTTAAAATTGTTTGTCCAAATATTTTAGGTTAAAAAAATTTGATTTTTTTTTTAAATAACATTTGGGACACTTATGTTATCTACTTGTCCCGCCATGACCAATCAAGCATGTAAAAACACAAGGTTTATACATACTCTAAAATGAAGAAAATAAACAAATAGGTTAAAAAACTCGACAAATAACAATAGATTTTAGGATAGTCCAAATTTACATATTCAATGTATGTGAATAACAATTTGAATTCTCATATTCATTATCATTGAATACTTATATGCTCATAAAATCTAAAGATAATTATTTTCATAATTGTCACGTTTCATTGTCTTAGCTCCCAAATTCCAACTTTGACTACAATGTCCAAAACAATGTCTCTCCTAATAATTCAAATGTGTATGAATTTCAAGAAGATATACACTTTCATATTGAAATTTCAATTGATTTTTCTTTTTATACAAGTTAAATATGTGAATAAATAAGTAAAAAATAAATTTAAAATATTCTCTGATAACATGTGACATTATAATAGGAAATTATTGGATACTGAAAAAAAGTAAAAACAATTATTTCTCTTCGATTTAAACATATGAAATAATATATATATATATATATATATATATATATATATATATATATATATATATATATATATCTCTCGAAAAAATTTATTTTACCCTAATGTTATATATAGTGGCGGATCTTCTTGGAGCTGAGGGGGCCATGACCCCCCAAAGTTTTAGTAACTCCTATGTAATTTATGATTTTGACTCCCCAAACTTAATTAACATTTAATATATTTACTTGTATATTTACAATTTTATCCTCTCAACCCCTCCTCAATTTTGTAACTCTCATATAATTTATGATTTTGTCTCTCTCTAACTTAATGATCATTTAATATATTTAAGTATATATTTACAATTTTATCCTTTTACCCTTTCATCTTCTTTCTTCCTTTTATATTTATTTATTATTTATTAAAATGATATATTATTTGGCCCCCCAAGATCAATGGTCAAGATCCGCCACTGGTTATATATTTATTATTATATGATAGATGTATGTATAGTTAAAAATGTATAAATACGATTTAAAATGTAAATTATCTCATTATATCTTAAATCCGTCACTATATATATAATGACATAAATACTCTTAAAATAATTATAATATATATATATATATATATATATATATATATATATATATATATATATATATATATATATATATATATGTTTAAAATTTTCCCTCGTGTAAGACATGTTATATTATCATCTTTGTTGAATACAACACTACTAAACGAAGAAAAGAAAACAAATCTTATCCTTTCGAAAAGATGCATAAAAAATATTCTATCACGTGAATTTTAAATAATTAGAATTCTTCTGTTTGAAATAAATAAAGTAAAAAAGAACTATATATAATAGAAAAAAAAATACCTGAAGTTCTTTGGGGACAGTGAGGGTTTCTTCATTCGATTTTGATTACAAACCTTGTCGCTTTAATGAGTCTCACTATACATTCCATGTTGGAACTTGGAAATCATTAGATAATAACTTTGAAGTCTCTAGAAAAATGGGCAAAAACTAAAATTGGAATTAATTAAAGAAGCTGAATAAATGTTGGTCTTTTCTTACTAAAAACATCAATCTTTTTTGCAACGTGTCATGGTCCAAAAATGGTAAAGAATTAGATGATAGCACTATCAAATTTGTTGGTTCTTCTAATTAGAACATCATCATCATCATCATTGCAAGTGAGAAAACCAAACTTGTTGGAACCTTTTTGTGGCATCACCAACATGATCATGAACATATTTATGAAACATATATATCCCAAGTGAACCTTCCAAATTATTTCTCTTCATTTGTTTCCCTAAACCAAATGTTGGACGACTCTAGCACTAAAGATATATGAGAGGCAAAAGGGTGCTTTGAACAAGAACTTGCTAGAGTATATATAACATGCATGTGTACATAATGATTCCCAAAAATAAGAAAAAGCCACCCTTTTAAAGAATCAAATCATACTATTGAAAACTTATGAATAAGATTAACTTTTAAAAATAAAATATTAGTTGTAATAAACAAATGAGCCCACAAGCATATCATTTGAGAATCCCATCTAAGTGTACAGATATAATGAAATGACATAAAGTAGTTTTAACTATTATTGTTCAAATTATTTAAAATTCAATGAAAATATTATTCTATTTTTCTCAAGAGACAAAATTTTAGTTTTGTTTTATGGACTTGTACAGTGTCTTTTCAATAAAAATATAACCTATGTTTTTTTTTAAAATATCTTTACTAAAATGCAAAATAAAAATAATTCATCATTTGCAGATTTCTTTCAACATTAGATATATCACTATATAATAAATAATCATATATAAAATTAAAATTTTACATAAGATGGATAAATTTATTAAACTAACTGTGCATTGATAGAATATTTAGCAGTCATGCATTGTTAATATAATTTATATTGTAAAAAAAATAACCTTTAATATGTGTAAAAATTTGATAAGAACATTCATAATATCACAGCTAAGATTAATTAGGATGCAGCCATGTAAACATGTTACAGAAAAATAAATAAAGTCATTGAACTCAAAACAAGAACTATCTTTTTATTCAAAATAAAATATCCAAATTATATACATTGTTATTATTGTTATTATTATTATGATGATTATTATTATTATAAAAGTATTTAAGTATTGAGTCTAATCACATTCCTCAATGATTAGATATCTCCATACACATCCGCTAAGTGTTATTTTCAAATGACATCACATGCTACTCTGAACTCTACTCCTTCACTATTTATACCCCTCATACTTTCCCTCACCTCTCCACTCCCCAATTCAACTAAATCTCTCTCTCTTTCTCTCTATCTTTCTCTCCATCTTTCTCTCCATATACTTCACCAAAAGTCAATTTCAACATCCTTTTTCACCTTCAATCCACTGAACATAGTCTTGGTGTCTATTACGCAAAACACAACACACACATCAAAGTTTGTCTCAAACAAACCAAATATGCATGACATATGTCTCAACATGCCACCAATGGTTCAGAACTTCGACCCTGAGGACCTCTTCACAAGGCGTTGCATGTGGGTGAATGGACCTGTGATAGTAGGTGCTGGTCCTTCAGGTCTTGCAGTGGCTGCAGGCCTCAAAGACCAAGGTGTTCCATTCATAATCCTTGAGAGAGCAAACTGCATTGCCTCTCTTTGGCAAAACCGCACCTATGATCGCCTCAAGCTTCACCTCCCCAAACAGTTCTGCCAGCTTCCAAACTTCCCTTTCCCTGAGGATTTCCCTGAGTACCCCTCAAAGTTTCAGTTCATAAGCTACCTTGAGTCCTATGCCAAGCACTTTAACATAACCCCTCAGTTCAATGAAACAGTGCAGTCTGCAAAGTATGATGAGACCTTTGGCCTGTGGAGGGTCAAGACCAGGAGGAAAGGACCCTCCTCAGGTGCTGAGATTGAGATTGACTACATTTGCAGGTGGCTTGTGGTTGCTACTGGTGAAAACTCAGAGAAAGTGGTGCCTGAGTTTGAAGGGCTGGGAGAGTTTGGTGGCCATGTCATGCATGCTTGTGATTATAAATCTGGGGTGGGTTTTGGTGGACAGAAAGTTCTTGTTGTTGGGTGTGGAAATTCAGGAATGGAAGTCTCACTTGATCTATGTAACCACAATGCACAACCATCAATGGTGGTTAGAAGTTCGGTGAGTACTAAATCTCTCAGCATTTTTTTATGAACAAAACTTGGATACAGTAGTTCACTAAGTGGCTGAAATGTTGTTTTTCAATCAGAATTAAAGATTCACTTCAATAATTTATGTTAACCTTCTGTAGAAACTTTTTTTTACATGAGTTCTCGAAGTGAAACTCTAATTTTAATTAGCAAACAGTGTCAAAAGTGGCATGTGTTTAGGCTTTGGTCTTTTTATATGTACTTCTTTTTTCTTCTTTTTATCTGACAATATTTTGTGTTTTCTATTCATGATCAGGTTCATGTTTTGCCAAGAGAGATTTTTGGGAAATCTACTTTTGAAGTTGCAGTGATGTTGATGAAGAGGCTACCCCTTTGGATGGTTGATAAGATATTGCTGATTCTGGCACGTTTGATTTTGGGGAATGTTGAAAAGTATGGTTTGAAAAGGCCTTCAGTGGGTCCTTTGGAATTCAAGCACACTGCAGGGAAGACCCCTGTGTTGGACATTGGGGCCCTTGAGAAAATTAGATCTGGCAAAATCAAAGTGGTTCCTGGAATCAGAAGGTTCTTGCGAGGGAAAGTGGAACTTGTCGATGGCCAAGTTCTTCAGATTGATTCTGTGGTTCTTGCCACTGGTTATCACAGCAATGTACCATCATGGTTAAAGGTTAGTCCTTCTTCATAACTCATTCATTTATTAACACATTATTTTATATACTTTCTCTAGCCTCGGATTCTTGCTGACAGTTATGGAAGTGGATTGGGTTTAACCCTGCACTTTCTCTCTCTTTCTCAATAAAAGCAAAACCATGTTAGATTGTTAGTTTTGGCTAGTGGTTTTGTTTTTCTTTTCTTTATACAAGCACACCACAGATGTTTCTTCCATTATTCACCAGTGCTTTCTTTATTAGTTCAGTTATCTTGTATTACATTAATAATCTGATTTTTAAAGTAAAAATCAACAGAACTGACGTATATAATAATCTATAATTTAGATATAAGTGTAAAACTATTTTGTGTGCAAACATTTTTTTCTTTGTTCTTTATCCCAGTTGTTTTGTACCCTTGTGGCTGAGCCCCCCACAAAGGCTTCTGGCCCTATTGAAAGACCAGGGAAGGTGTGTGTCTGTGTGTTGGGAAAAAAAGTTCCAATGTATTCTGAAAATGCTCCAACTTTGTAGGCATCTATGTAGGTACTTGGTTTTGGTACATTTGTAGACATTATCATGTTTCTCCTCTAGGGACAAACGATAACAATAATGCAATGACTTGAATGAGTTTTTGACTTTGTTCAAGTTAACTAAAATGCAAATGTTATATGTGGTGGTTTGATCAGGAGAATGATTTCTTTTCCAATGATGGGACTCCAAGAAATCCCTTTCCAAATGGGTGGAAAGGGAAAGGTGGTCTTTATGCTGTTGGATTCACAAGGAGAGGCCTTTCTGGTGCTTCTTTGGATGCAATCAATGTGGCTCATGACATTGCCAAGAGTTGGAAAGAGGAAACCAAACAGAAGAGGAAAACTGTGGCTGCACGCCACAGAAGATGCATATCACACTTCTAATCTACACACTCACATCACGAGCATTTTGGGATTGTTTTCTTTCTTTCTCATCAATCCCAAACAACATCAAGAGATGATGCTGATCATAACTTACAAAATGCTAGAGTCCCAGTGTAATTATTATGTTTTTAGTTGTTAAAATTTAATATGAATTCGGTTTTTATTTTTTACATTTTTAAAAAATCTTAACTTTAATGTATAGGAAGTATATACATATATTTTATTTAAAAAAAGTGATGGCTCAAATAAATTGAGATACCAAAACCGAATTTATTTTAAATTTTAGAAACTCAATACATGATTAAACCTTAACAAAGCATAGCACTGAGCCTCTATTTAGTAAGTTGTGGGATTTGAATTGTAAGTGTGTGATCTCCCACAATAAACTTTGTCCCTTTTCTCCTCTTGAAGGTGTAATAAAAACTCCTCTTTTACAAAAAAAAAATAAAAAAAATAGCCCTCTCCTTAAAGAAAGCCTGGCTATTTTTGTGCAAAGGAAGATGAGGCTTGTTTGCTTGTTAATTAATGTATTTTAGTTGTATGGAATGTTAAAATATTTTTGTTTAATTTATAATGTCAAAGCTCTCTTTCTCTCTCTTGTAATCTGGTCTCTGTTTTAGGTCAAACTCATTCACAAGACATGTTGATGGGCTTTTGCCCTCCAACATAGGCCCAATAAAAGGTTGACACATTGCGAAAGAGAAACATGCAAAGCACATGGACAGATATCCTAATGTCAAAAGAAAATTAATTTCCTATGCTTTGAGATAGGAATGAAATTGAAAAAAATATATAAAAAACAGAAAGATTTTGAATTGTTAATGCTTCTATATTTAAGGGAGATTCATGTGGTCAACGGAGAAAGTGAGAGAAAAATACCTCCATTGACTAGGTGGAGATTTATTAATTGAATGTTTAAAGAAACAAAATTTTGAATTAAAAATAGTTTAAATATTAAATATAAGTACTTTTCTAAAAAAATGTAATCTATTTTATTAAAAAAAATATTTCCATTATATATATATATATATATATATATATATTTGTAAAACTTATTAATTTTTATTTAGTCAATAAATCTCAATATTAATTCTATTTCAGTAATATATTATGATAAAATATTATTTGTTTTGAAAATCTATTTTATTATAATTTTATTTTAAAAATATATAAAATAATAAATGAATATTACAAAGATAAAAACATTTTATTTTTATATAAAAAATGTAAATTATTACTTTATAAATACAAATATTTACAGTGGATTGATATGTCAAAAATTTCCCGTATAAAATGAACTTGTATAAAGAATTATATTATTATTTTGTAAGATATAAATCTCTTAATATGTCAAGTTTTTCGTATAAAATTCACTTATATAAAAAATTATATTATTACTTTGTAAGATACAAGTGTCTTACCTTATATTATTACTTTATAAGATACAAGTCTCTTACAATAAATTGATATGTTAAATTTTTCGTATAAAATTGACTTGAATAAGGAGTTAAGAGTGAAATGTCAATGACGTAAGAGTTGTTATAATAAAAAATAGTATAAAATATTTTTAAGATAAGAGAATTATGTATAAAATAAGCATTTTTATTTTTAAGATAAAATGTATTTTACTCAATTATTGTAACTATGAAATGAGTATAAAGAGGTATAAAATAAGAGAAATTTCAGTAACTTGTTGTGGACACTTGTACTTTTTATTTTACATATAATATTTATTATTTTTAAATACATTTTCCTCATTTATCGTCACCATCTGAAAAACATATATTTTAGTAATTTTTTACTTTTTTTATTTAATGAGTGTCTGAATTTATTGATTTTAATCAGGTTTTAACTGATTATATAATGCATATATAAAAATATACATTAAAAACATGTTCTTAACACTCACATAAGGATAAATTAGTACTCACCTGTTCTTTTAGTTTTAAATAGATACTCATTTTCTTTATCTTTCTAGTTCTAAATAAACATTAACCATTTTTATTTTTATTTTTAAATATTATATTAATTAAAAATTAAATAAAAAAGATTATATATATATGACAGATAAAATATTAAATATGATTATGAAATTGTAACCTCTCAACTAATTTCATATCATTATCCATCAATCATTTCATAATTTTTTTTATCAAAGAAATAATCATATGGAATCAAATAAACTCATGAACAAAGTCAACTTTAAAAAAAATATAAACATCATAAGAATTATACTATGAATAAATTATAAATTTTCATAAATATACAAATTTATCGTTTTAAAAAATATTATTTTAATATAAAAATTAAAAAAAACTATAAAATATGTAATTAAATTTATTATAACTTATTACTACATTTATATATGATTTCAATACAAATATAAATATAAATAATCCTTACCCTAAGAGACGTAAATATTTATTTTAAAACTAAAGAGAATGTGATTTTCATTTAACTTGTTAGTAATTTTAATTTACCTCATGAAATATTGATATCTTTATGATGAACACCAAAGTGATATATATATATATATATATATAAAAGAAATAGAAACTATAATGATAAAAGAAGAAGAAGAATAATACATATAATTTATTAGAATATAACTTATTTTTCTACCTTTTATGTCTTCCAAAGGGTACTTGTCTTAAGAAATATGGGACAGGGTCTTGATCTTAAACCTATCAGGAAACTGTGTTAGAGGAAGAGATTTGAGTTATATATATATATATATATATATATATATATATATATATATATATATATATATATATATATATATATATAATGGAATACACTTTTCTTTTTTAGTTTTTAGTAGTGTCTTGTTTTTCTTATCACATTAACATGTGTTGTTGGTTTGGTTCTCTCTTTCTTTTCAAAATCTGTATATTTCCTAAGTGAGTGCATATAGACTTATTTTTTCATACATAATTTGGCAAGTTTTGTTTTGCCAGGTACAACTCTGTCAACTATTACGTACACAAAGACAATTTGTATGGCTTTCAATAGCTACTTATCTTATGTACCAAAAACTATGGATAGACACAAGATCTGAAATGAAAGTCAGTACAAAGAGACACCATATATAATTATAATTTCAACTTCTATTAATGTACTTTATCTTAAATAAATAAATAAATAATTTCACGTATTTTATCACAATTTAAAAAAAAACTTATATATTTATTTTTCTGTCGTAAGTCTAGATCTCATGATCAATTTTTAACTCAACTTTCATCAAACGATTTTATTTTAAAAGATATATAAGTGAATTGAGAAAGAAAAATAAAATATATAAATATATAAACTATTTTAATTTCAACTCATATATTAAATAAAAATAAAATAAAATAATATATAAAAATTTAATATCTATATTATTTTAATATATTTTAGATTGAATATGGTAGTATACTATTACGTTACGTGATGAAAGTAAGATGAAATTAAAAATAAAGAAAACACTTATCTATATATCTCATCATATCTTTTATTTCATTTCATCATCCCATTATATGGTTTGCTTTAATATTTCCACATTTCTTTTATGATTATCATCAATCTTCGTATTAAACGATACTTTGGAATTTAATCAACATTAATAAAATTATTATAATAATTAAATAATGTAAAAAATATTAAAAACATAATATTATAATTCTATAGTGTTAAAAATTAAAATAAAATATATTATAATCCTTCAGTTAAAATTTCAATAAAATTCATCAATATACTAATAATGATTTTATATCTAGAATAAAAAATACAAATATTTTAAGTTGATATTAAAAAAATAAATCTATAAGTATTTCTTCATTTAACTAGTTTGGTGTTTCTTAACCTATTTTTAATTTTTTTTAACCGAGTTTTCTTAATTGAATTTTTAAATATTTATATTGTCCGAGTTTGATTTTGGTAAGAAATAATTTTTAGTCAGATTTTAAAAATGATACATTTTTCTATAAAAAATAAATTAAAATAATTTTGATAAACAGTATGATAGCATTATATAACAATGCAAGTGTATCCTAGAATGAATATCTAAAAGAACACTACAAGTTGCTAATCTTTATGCAATGCACAATCTCCTAGTATATATTTTTTTAATTACTACAAAAATTGTGTGTATTTTTACAAATTTTTAAACAATAGTTTTGAATTTTTTTAATTTAATTTTTAATATTTTAGAATTTGAAATTTGAGATAAACAAGGAATTAAAATTGAAGAGTGCTCAAAGCTTGAAATCGGGTGTTCACAATTAGGAAGACAATTCTTAACCTTGTGTAATAGTTTAAAATTTTCATCAGAAAATTAAATAAGAACAAAATTATTTTCCTAAAAATATTATAAATAATAATGAATATGAAAATAAATAATCCCTTCTTATCCAATAAAACTTTAAAAATCTATCGGCATGAAATTGTATTTACCACTATAATAATAGGCATTAATTAAAGTATATCAAACATAAGTATATTTATACTATGTGGCTGGAAAATAGTTGTTATTCTCAGTGACAAAGGTTGTGGTTGAGATAAACCTATTCCTTCTCAATGATTGAGATTGTCCAGAAAAAAACAAATTCCTATTTCAACAAAACAACTAAATGTCACTGCTACACATGTATGTTTTTGCCAACAACTCTATCATCTATGAGAAAAAAAAAATCCACTGTGAATTATCTTTATTCTTTGCAATGATTACTTCAGACCATGTTGATTCCATTAATCTTCCACAACAAGGGTTCACAAAAACTGAGACAAACTATATTTTGTGGAGAAATACAGTAAATACTTGTTCTTTCTTTCATTCATATATGGTGGATATTAAATTTCCACTATCCATGTGATGTGAAGAGGGGTAGAAACATTACTTAGTTCATGATACTTGTTGTGCTACTGGTGCACCCCATCGTTGGTCACTCTCCCTTGCATTCTCTATCAGTGTCACAGTCTCCACATTGCCACCACATTGCTCTTCTTCATCTTAAAAC